GTAGGCTTGGTCGGTGTTGGCTTGGTTGGTGTAGGTTTGGTCGGTGTTGGTTTGCCTTTCGTAACGTTCGCGTACGATTGGTCTGCTTCGAGCTTCTGTACCAGCAGTTTTTTGTTTTGCACACATGGAATGCCAATGTGTGCAAACTCACGGCAGTGCAAGCAGGTTTGCCGCTGCCCCTTGTACCCCACCGCAGTTTCTTCGCCCTGGATGGTTACGAGAGAAGGAATGTTCTTCGTTACCACCATGCGAGCCACACGAACACCGGTTTTGACACCGCCGAAATCGCTATAACGGTCGTCCCACAGTAAGTCACGAACACTGATAACCTCTCCGTAATCGGCGAGGAAAGCTGCGACCTGGTCGTTGGAGATGCCTTCGGGGAGCTCCAAGAACTTCACCTCCACCGCTCCGTCCTCCATCGTAATGCGTAGCTTGTACGACTTTCCATCAAACACGAACTCGTGCTTGCCATCGTGTTGTTCCACGATCTTCTCGGCTAGTTCGAGGCTGTTGACCTTCACGAAGGTACATCCCAACCGCCTGCTTGGCTGGAGTTGAAGTACATTTTCGCGCGAAAGACCGAGTTCTTTTCCGACGAACTTATGGATTTCGTCGTGAGTGAGAAGCTTCGGAAACTGCGAATAATCGACGCGAAACGTATTTTCGCGACGCGACATCGTGGCGCTTGAAGTCGCGGTGAACCCCGAACACAAAACTTATTGCGACGGTCGAGAAAAACTGACAAAAACGTACTATATAGTCCGTGATCGACTCCCGAAATTGCTCGTCCGAAAACATCGACTGATCGGCTCGGAAGTTGAGCGCTAACTGATAGCTCATACCGTAGTACAATGAGGTACAGAGAGAGGTGAAGCAGATCGTGAAATATTGTTGTATTAGTAAACCAAAAAATCAACGTAAACGCAAGTAGTGACGTCACTAATTGCTTGTATCGTACAGGGGTTTTACTCACACAACTTAACCGATTGCTTCACCTCTGTAATCCAGCTCATTGACCGTAGTAGGCTGTGCATAAAAGAAAATGATTTACTTATATCGAATTTGTTTATTATCCAGTTTGGAGCCAGTTCCAACCCGTGTGAACCCGAGCTTATTGTCAGTGCGAACCTCAACCTCGGCGGCAGAGAGACGGCATGAGAGTCACGCACGACAACGAAGCGAGTGTGGTAAAAAACATCAACAGCTTCAACCGCTGATTTTTGACGTTGGATAACGTCTTTCGGCAACATACGGGGGTACAAAATTGAAAACAGTCATTTTGGATGCGTTACGAAAAATTAAAAGATTTTGAACGATAATAACTCAACCGTCTCTAGATAGATTTACGAGATAATGGCATCAATCGATTGGAAATATTTCTAGCAATTTGCTGAATGTTGAAACTATTGATTTCATTCTGTAAACTATTGAAAAATGGTTAAAAGTTAACCATTGTCTAAAGATGGTGAAAATCGATTGATTTTTTTTATATTCTTATACTTTCTCCAACCGAGACATCAGATGCGAGTATCTGACACCTCTGATATTTTCTGTTCTACTATATAAGCGTCCAACAAGGTCACCCGTTCCATCATTGTCAACAACATCAGCCCAACAAAACGGCCCTTTTCAGGGCCACCAAACTTTCGCAAAAGAGTTATTAAGGAATATTCCTAAAATATAATATACACAATTAAGTACAACACATAACAGACGTTATCCAACGCCAACCCTGCGGTCGTATCTAGTATACAACCCTTCCAACTTTTTTTTAAATTCATGAGTCCTTTTATGATTTTAAAGCACCAACATTACAAAGAAACCGGGTCATGCAAGGTCAGCTATTAGGTTGAATAGGTAGTTATATCGAATTTCGGAGTGAAAAATTGAGGTCAAATTTATGTTATGCATTTTCAAAAAAAAAATCAAAGTAGAAACCGGGTCATGGAAGGTCAGTTATTGGGTTGAATAGGTAGCTATATCGAATTTCAGAATGAAAAATTGAGGTTATGCATTTTCGAAAAAAAAAAAATGAAAACAGTTTTTATTGACACGTCATTTAGTATAAAATAGCGGAAGAAATTGAATGACGCAAATTTTGTGTACTTTAAAAACAGTGCATCGAAATTTTACGATAATGCTTCAAACTAAATTGAAACTTCAATTTAAAAAAAATCCATGATTCTCAGGCTTTGAGTCTTACAATATGACATTTGTTTTCAATTAGATTTAGAAAAGTTTCCAAAATCCCAGATTAAAAATAAATACATGGTCCCTGAAAAATTTGCCTACAAGTTTGATGAATTTTGTAATACTTTTTAAAATTCCAAAGAATTGCAGAATTATTTCTAACAAATTCAGAGTTAATCTTGGAAAACAACTCAACGGAATTTTGATTAAAATCAAAAGCTCAAAAGCATTCTGATATAAGTCCTATTAGAATCATCAGTGATTAGTGAAAAGGATTTCAAGGTGAATTCCCTGGTTGAAAATCTGATTAAAATAAATTTCCAAGACTCTAATGCTTTGACATTATTATTATTTTTTGAAATTTGTTAACCTAGACTTTAAGATAAAAGGAGTGAGAAAAAAAGCTGATTTTATTTAAAATATGGGATTGATAAATATAATAGAAGTATACAACTTTTAAAAATTTACAGGAACTCAGAATTAAAAAAAAAAATCATTATCTTAGAATGTTCAGAGGTAGAGAATGATCAGGATACGTATGGAATTTTCAGACATTTAAAATTGATCAAAATATGAATTTAAGGGAAAATGCGAGGTGAATCACAATTCCATTCTGGTAAACATCTTATGGGAGTTCTAACCAGGATTCCAAAAGAAAAAAAAAATCTAAGTTTATGTCCTTAGCAAGTCTGAGAAAATTTCCTAGAAATTTCTGAGCAATGAAAGGATGACTTTAATTGATTTCTTAGGTAATTCTTAGAATAACTCCATGGTTGTGAAAAGAACTTCAAGGTGAAATCCCAGGTGATTCTGAAGAAAATTGTATGGGGATAATTCTAAGAAAAGACTAGAACTCAATGAGAATTATAAACAGAATTTAAAGAATGATATTAGATTAATTTCAAAAGGAATAGGCTCTGGAGGATTCCTGAGGAGAGAGTTGATTGAAAAAAAATGAGCAGGCCGTGACCAAAACTGTGTATGCCAAGCATGGTACACATTTCTGATATTATTTTATGATATTTTACCTCTTACGCTCACGCTAATCCACATATCTTTTGGTATCAAAATCTGATTTTGTATGACTGAGTTATTTTATTTTACCGGGGTATAATAAGGGTATGATTGTTCCCAGTTCTACCGTCGAATTTTTCAGGCTATTTCCCGGTTTTACCAATGTTCCAGGTCCACTGGCCACCCTGATTTATATATCAGCTATTGAACTTTGTACCGTAATCCGGGATGAAATTGATCATTATGGGTCGCGTTGTCACGTAGAAAATTTCAGGTAATAGATATTGAAAGAAATCATTTAAGTATATCTTCAGAAGAATTTACCCTGTATTTTTTTTTAAGAAATCGTCTACATTTAGGCCCAGCTATGCATTTCAAGAATTTTTTGTAAAATTTCTGCTGAAAATAAAGCATTTAAGTATTTGATTCGGATTCAGGGATCCCAAATTTTTATTACCAAGGGTTAATTTCACTGAATGTTGAAATGTATTTTTTTATTTACTAAGTCATAAATTTGTACCCAGATTACGGTACTATTCAACTAACCTCTAATCCCATACAATTTGGTCCGATCTTCGATATCCAATAAATTCATGGTAACTCCAGAGGCCAACGTATCAAATTACTGAAAACCCCATTCGCACATCACATAAGGTGAATACAACAAAATTAGTGTGGAATGCCAAATTTCTCCGATCGAATGTGATTTAAATATTGCCGAAAATGAATTGTAAATGATCTCCTGTCGTGCATCTCTGCCTGCGGACGGCAATGGAGTTGATTGAAAAAAGATCACCATTTCACAGTGAATAAATTAATGGCTGACTATTGTTTTGTGTCGAAAAAGTATGTATAATTAATTATGGGACGTCTATCTCATAACCATAGGCATTCGAATCAACCTATTCTGTTTGGGAAAGTTTCCGGGAATTTACGGCTGGTGGCACCCCGCCAAGTTCAGCATAGATCACCTCTGGCTGTAGAGGACATTAGTTCGAAGGCTTGCACCACACTCATTAATAAACGGTGCCTATGGCCCAATTTATTATCACCCTAAAGCGATCACTTCATCACCCTGGAAAGTTTGATTTAGCGCAGGTAGCTTTATTTAACGAGCTCATTATTCAAATAACATGTGTAATTTTATTTCTTTGCCTAGGTTTCTCACCGAAGGTGACCGGTAAGATTGGAGGCTTTCGTTAATGAATCGTCTTTAATCGATTCCAAATGATAGCAGCGGGTTGATGCGACTCTGTCTGCAAAGTGACCGTCGACTGGGACGTGTGGTTCAAACGAGTTGACACTCTACAGCGAACGACGAAATCCAACACGGATGTACGAGTGTTTTGTTAGAGCTTTGTAACGCATTGTACGACTTTTGTAAATTTGACGATTTTTTTACGCTGTCACTGATTTCAAACTTCAAGCGGAGAGGAAATAGTTTCTTCCACAATTTTCCATTCTCTCTAATGAATCGGAAATTGACTGGATGTAATTAGTTTGAAAGCATCGTCGTTCTGCTATAAACTACCCGGTCGTCCCTAACAGGCAGCAGCACAGCAAAAGTTTCGGTAATACTATTAAAATTACTTGAACGGCGCTGATTCACATGAAATTTAATTATTCACCACTATAAAAGGAATCTACTTGCAGCGCTTGCTGTTTGATGTAGCAACTCAAACTACCGGCACATAGTCCGTAGTCATGTACGATAAGTGGTAAGCGAGTGTAAGTGAGTTGGGATGTTAAATTACTTTCTCTAAAATTTAATGAGTTTCAAGTTTTATACTTACAATATTCGCAGCTTCGACAGGTTCTGGAAGTCGGATTCATAGATGACGGTGATGTTGTTGCCCTGGAGGTCGCTGTAAGCGAGAAAGGAAAAACGTACGGAAATTAGTTTACAGTGCTTTTAGGAAGTGTCCTTCGTATGTGTAAGTATGCGGAGCTTATTTCGCTATCATAATAGTGGAGGAAAACTTTCAATCGGAGTAAGGTTTACTTTGCTCTTATATGGAAATATTTTGCTAGTCAATTAATGTGTCAATTAGATCTTAATTTATGGTCACGGGAAAGTGCTGGAATTTATAATTTAACTTTGCTTATTGTGCTGGAAAGATGAAAGGTAGACACAGGAAACTGCTTAGCATGTCACAAAAATGGAAATTGTTTTGGCTGGCGCAGGCTGGAATAAAATCCAACTTTTGAAGGAGCTTACATGATGGTCTTGTGAAAGCTATTAGGGAGCAATATCGTGAAATGCGATCTACTCTCCGCTGCTCTTTTAATCTGTGTTGAGGTCACGAACACCTGAACCAGACTTGCGCGAGTTTGGTTGAGATCTGGATTTACGGGCTAATTTATAAAATTTTATGGGAAACGGAATGAAACTACGGAAACGGAATGAAATACAATGTACACAACTTTTTGAAATTTTGCTCATTTGTAGCCATAATAAAGATCTTCCACATGCTTATAATTTTACTACCAAAGACTCCCGTCAATATGAACGATACACCGTGCATATTAATGGGGTTATATTTTAGTTTGAACTTCTAGTAACCCTACGAGCATCAGAAAAGTGTATTTCTGGTAGCCTTATTTGCAATTTTGATTTGTTTTGTCATCCTTTTCGCATTATTCCATTTAATTTAATCTCCATTTCATGTGCCAAATGATGTTTGAGAAATTATTACTAAAATTACGTTTTACTAAAATTACTCAAACTTCATACAGGCTCTGCCAATAAATTCCAAAACTATACTGATAAATCAATCAATAGTTGTTCAAACATCAGCACAGATTGCAAACATTTATCATTTCACAGTGATTTCAAAAAATGGTCAATTCAGGTATGAGTAGGTATGAGCGGAACACTTGGCCTATTTAAAGTAAAAGTTCAATCACTTTTTTTCACAGAAGTCGAATCGTTTTGCTATTTTCGACTAAGTTGTTCAATATAAATCTCAGGGTTGGGCATTAATGAATTATCTGTATACTTTTGTTTAGCTAATAGTTTTTCCCAGCTACCCAAACATCCACCGCATTGCATTGTCCATAATTCTAATATGATGTTTTTGAAACTGTCGTGTTTTCAAAGTGCCAGTTTTGAGTTAATAAGATAAATAGGATGAGGAACATTGTTCAATTCATATAATGTTTAAATTTGTGTGAGTTGGATAAGATAGAAATTGATATAGGGGAGGACAGTCCTTATTGTATTCAATTTTCTGATCGTAGCTTACTCATGACACCCTTTCACTCAATCATGTTACAAAACAGTGTTCACTTGGTTGTCGACAGAAACAGGTCACTCTCGATGTGTGTCACGCGATAATCTTTTTTTTTCGGCAGCAACCATTTTGTGGTCCTCCTCATTGTTCGTCATCAGCAGTTCTTTCGGTCGATGCGTCGTCGATATTGGAAAGCAACTATTCGTGATGAGTGTGTGAGTGCTTACCACGTTTTGGGTATTGCTGCTATGGAAGCGGTCTGCCACTCGTTGGTGATACTGCCATACAATAAAACCACTGGAAACGGCTCCCGTTTTGATGGAGAAGGCTTATTGGATATCGGAAGCTAAAGTGTTTATTGTGTTGTACTTTTTCACTATAGTTTTAAGATGTTTTTGTATAGTGAATAATAATCCTTGGCTCTGCAAAATTAAATCGATTGAGCCTTATCAAATAAATTAATAAACAGATTTTACAAAAGTATAGTAGAAGGGTCTAAAACGCACCCCTGGGGTAAAATGGCCAAGCGCAGTTTTCCGATGGTTTCCCATTACTAAAAGGTGTTACGATCAAAATTTGGTCGACTTAAACTGAACGGATTTATTTTAATCGAGAATTTATGAACACCTCTCATTTTGCAGGTGTGTACGTGTAGAATGATGCCTCTATTTTGATTTTGACATTTGCTCTTCAGTTATCAAAATGGCGTCCAAGTAAGAGGAGCAACGCATCAAAATTTTGCACGCGCATAGCTAAAATCCGAGTAAGCGAAATCGTTAAAAGAAGCCAAATCAACTGTCACCAGCGTAATAAAAGTGTTTGGGGAACATTTGTTGGCAACTAGGAAGCCTGGGTCGGGGGGAAATCGAAAGCCGGAAGCCGCAATGACGACAAAAAGAGTGTCGACAAACAAGCTGGAAGTGTAGTCTACAACCGTGCATCGAGCTAAAAAAAGCGAGCCGGACTGCCTGCATAAACAATAACCATAAGAAGTGCCTAACCACCAATTCGGGTTATCATCCCAACTTTATGTGGTATGGTCGTACCATCTTTTATATCTTTAGTGTATGGTACCCATTTATTAGGTTGTTGACTTCTAATAAGGTAGTGACTCCAAATCGCAACGATAAACAAAACAAGACGGCCAAAACACGATCCCAGAAACTGTACACGACGATGCTGACGAAGTTCGAGCATATGAAACTGTCGAAGAAATATCTGGTTTTGCAGACTATCTGTACCTGTGACTTGAAATGTGACATTTCCATTGCAGATAGGACCGTCAATCAAGAAATTTACGCGATCGAGTGTCTGGAAAAAACGTTTGCTGCCTTTCCTGAAGCAACACGATTTTTCCGTGCTGTTTTGGCCAGATTTGGCATCCTGCCAGTACGGAGAAAAGGCGATGAAGTAGTATGCCTCCAAAAAGTGCAGGTGGTGCCCAAGGACAAGAACCCTCCCAACACGCCAGTGCTCCACCCAATCGAAAAATATTGGGCCATCGTTAAGCGGAACCTGAAGAAGACCCAACCAACTGTTGGATGCGAGAAGCTGTTTAGGTCAAACTGGCGTTCTGCGGTGAACAAAGTGGACGAGGTGGCTGTACAGAATCTGATGTCAGGAGTTAAGCGAAAGGCCTGGTAATTCGGATTCAGTCAACCGGAAGCTTTACTAAATATGGTTTCTTTTTTTCCTTGATTTGTTTTCCGTCGATTTCGTTTTCCGTGCTGAGCACCAATGCTACTGACACCAGGGAGGTAGCTCCCACACCAGGACCCTATCTATCGACCCATCAACTCATGAACCGAGGACCAACGGCTTTACTTCCCTTCCGAAGGAAGGCGTGATCAGGGATGTTATGCCTCAGAACATCCCGGTGGCGCCGACTGGGATTGAACCCAGGCCTGCTGGGGTGAAAGGTAATCATGCTTATCACTACACCACGGTGCCGCTAAATATGTTTTCTATATTTTATATTAATTGAACTTAAAAAAGGAATATAGTTCGGTTTTTTAATAAAAAAAAAGTTATAAATATGTGAACATTATGAAGGAATGAAATTGGGTTGTTAGCGGAATGCATAAATGAAACAGCAAAAACAGATAATCTTCCTTAATTTTGGTAATTCCTTCTTAATTTTGGTATCTTTGACATATACATATTTCGACTACAATGTGCAGTCTTCATCAGTGTTATTCCCACTAAAGACTTATCAAAATCTGACCCCCTTAAGTACTCATTCTCTAGGTTAAAATGTCATGATCACAGAATTCTACACTTTGTAGTTTAACTTTTAGTCTATAAATATAAAAGTTCGAAATGTAAGCATCTTAATCATTCTGTACTGGTAATAATTCTTCAAAATTTTTTGTTATTAATGATGAAAAACTGAATAAAACTGGATGAATTCTAAAAAAAACTTGAGATTTTGACTTTTGCAACGTTTAACCGTTTGCGTAAAAAAAAAAGAAAGGTTGGCATCACTGTTACGGTGCATGTGTATCGTTATTTTCGGTTTTCGATTTACCGATCTTAATTACCAACTATACACGCAGAAAAAAAATATTTTAAACGTAATAATATTTGACGTAGAATCAATAAGAATTTCATTTTGTTTTAGCTGCAAAAATAAATCATTATTGTTTCAACAATCCAGTATTTTTGTTCCTCAAAACCCATAGATTGTTAAATCAAAAAGAAAATCTTTTCGAATTCACAAGAGCTTTCATGGTTTTGACGTAAGCTGTCAAATTTGGCAGCTTGGTCAACAACAAAAATATGTTTGTTTTTAAAAAAGATTTCTTGTTGATTCAATCATATTTATTTTATGAAGTCTGACAATTCACGCAGCAGAAATAAAAATATGTTTATTGATTCAAAAATCCGGAGTGATTTGAGATTTGGGCGTAATTGCTTTTGAAAACAAACACGTCAATTACTGATTTCTCTTGAATAAAAGCTCAATCTCACAAACAAACTATACCAAAGGATAGAGGAATCATTCCTCTACCTCATAGTGTTATTACTTTTCGAGATTGAGCTTTTATTCGCGAGAAATCGGTGATGCAATCACGCCCAAATCTCAAATCACTCCGGAAATAATATGGCCATTTTTTTATGTTTTGTTTTCTTTTTCACTGATCATCCTTCGGAAGGGAAGTAAAGCCGTTGGTCCCCGGTTAATTAGTTGATGGGTCGATATGTAGGGTCCAGGTGTGGGAGCTGCCTTCCTGGCGTCGGGAGCATTGATACTCAGTACGGAAAAAAAGATCGACGGAAAAAAATCAAGAAAAATAACAGGAAATTGATTATATTTAGCAACTGCAGCATACTTACTTACCTCAAGTCTCAAGATTTTCGGAAATTTTGCACTTATTTCCCGAAATTCACAAGTTTTGATATTGTTTACATTTTTGTCCGGGTGAAAACGAGGGAATGGTTGGTAGTTATTTTTGCATTCATGGCCCGCTAAATTAAAATTAACTATTGTTGGCTTAATAATAGAATATTGTTATTTTTACAATAGTTGCAGTTGAAAAGTGGCTTATTAAAACAAAAAGAATCCTATTTTGAATTTATATGAATAAGTTTTATTTAAACAACAAAATGCAATATAATTTCAACCGGAATTGTATGTTTAAATACAACTAAAGTTTTTTTTTTGGTTCAATGCAAACAATTTTCTGTGCTAAACCAGGTATAATATCAACTAAGAACCTAATAAGACATGTACAGGTAGAATAAAAAATAGGTACATGGTTGATTCAACATCAAAAAACTTAAAACCTTTCCTAAAACGAGTGGGTTTGCGTTAAACCGTCACTTAAGTTATTGTTTTGCAGAATATATTATACAAACAAAATCTTTCCTTAAATCATGGAATCAGAAATGGAAACTGACTACACTTTAAAGCTTTAATAGAGTCTTAACGGCAACCGAGCGGTATCGCATCAAAGCCTGGAATCTGCATGTTTCGGTAACAATCGCAAATTTATGGATTATTTGAAAATCCATTCCTCTTTCATTGATCCATCTTTTGCTGATTGTGGGGGTGCTGGGCACGTAATAGTCATTTGCATCATTCTACATCCTATTCGTAGTGCTGCCTATCTCACTCAGATTGATGCGGTCCGATAAATATTTATTCACACGGCCAGAGAGCAAAGCATCGAACAATTTAGCCGACAGGCGTAGATCCACTGGAGTGAGGTTATCCCACCATCATGCGGATCTATTAGTGGAATTTAATGAATCGTAAAAATCGTTGTTTACTCGAAAAATATGCACGCGAGAAACCCCTTTGTAAGCGGTCGCGAATCTTGCGATAATCCTTTGTTTGGATGTTAATGGAACCATTTATAGCTAAATTTATGACGCATTGAAGTTGATTTAGGAAAAAAGACCATTTGTAACAGTTAAATTATAGTTTCGATGGACGATCACTCGATTGCTGTCGTTGTCGCCGAAACAGGTGGAGTGTGGGTTTGTCCAAAACGAGAACGTAAACTCATTTCAGATGAATTTATGGGCTGCAAATTCAAATTGATCAACAAATCCTCTAACTTATCACATTGATGATGGGACTGGAAATCTATTTGTGTCATTACTCAAGGACACCTAATGGTTTGAATTCAAATTTTCTGATCTGATATCACAAAGGAATGAGCGCAACTGCTATAGAATCGTTGTCAAACTTCATAAAAAAAATATTTGCCACCATCGAACATCGGACTGATGCAAATGTAATCCAGTAGGAAGCACCGCTTTTCGTCATTTGCCACACATGTATATGGAGAAGCAGAATAAGCATTATTGTTATTATTACCATATTCCACCATACCAAAGTCCGAGACGGAATAACACACTATAGCCCCATAGTCGACGCTAGAAGTTGTTGACAACATCTGCTTCCAATCGAGAAAGACTCTCATCGTTATCTATTTTTGACACTGCACCAAAAGGACAGCCAATTTCTCTGCACCATGGCAGCATTATTCCAACATCAGCAGAGCAGCAGCAGCAGCAGCAGCAGCAGCAGCAGCAGCAGCAGCAGCAGCAGCAGCAGCAGCAGCAGCAGCAGCAGCAGTGGTAACAGCATTTGTTCGTGTATTTGCACATTTGAGACATTTCAGAAATGCTAGACCGGACTGGATCGTGCAGATGCAGTTCCTTCCCTTTTCTATTAGCAGAAGACCAACAATGAGCAAAATATGAAAACTCTCTCCCGGGCAATGTTTTGTTTGTTTGAAAATTTAAAAACCCAGCAATCGTCACCAGGGGGAACACGTTCTGTAGCATAGGATAATTGTACTGTTGAGGTCGTCCCTGGGCGACAACGTTACTGGTCTGGTCAGAGGTGAAATAAGATAGATAAACAACTTTGCACATCACATGTCGGTCAAATTGAGTTTTTGGAGTGGCGCACTTGAATGTGGAATAATAAAATGAGCCCTTTGTTGATGTTTCAGTATTTGTTTTCCTGGACTCTAACGGCATTTGTATATGTGGTTACTGTCATTACGAGTTGGTTTTCAAACTCCTATTTTCCTATCTTGCAATTGTAGTTTATTTGGGATGTCCCCCAGAGTACGATGGGGCGGAATAGTGTCCAACAAATGAGCTTCAACTTACGACGACTTATGCTAGTAAAACCCTCATATATTTATACTCAAACCCCATTTTCATCATTCAACAAGCAATCATGGTGCTGTAAAAATAAAAGATGAATCAATGACACTCGCTGCGTGCCCAATATAAGCTAGATGAGAGTAATAATAATTGACTCAATTGCTTCATAACTAATCAAGATGGCACCGTCTCACGTCTAGAATCAGATCCACTTAATTTACTATGTCTTCAGTTTGGACAATCGCAACGGGCACAACACCCACAGATTCTGTCACCCTCACTATGGAATTGCTGCTGTTGGTGTTGCCAGAGCTGCGTGACTTGAAATGCAAATTAATGACCATTAAAGATGCTTTATGTTTCCATCTCCCGACATCACAATTGAGACATTTGAAAGTCATTAACACTTTCGTTCCATAGCACCGTCTTCATGCAAATTGAATCCATAAAATATTTTATGGGCCGACGATATCTGTTGCCAATTGCTATCGCTTGGCCTTTCATGCTGCCTATTTTATTTTAGCGCAAATGTTTACCGTCATAATCACCATATTTATGAGCTAGAAGCTCCAAAAGTTTTGAAAATTATTTGCATTGCTTGGTCAAAGCTATCGTCATGCTTAGTTTGGTTTTT